ATTATATGAATCGTGACACCCAGACTGGTTATTGACAGTCGATTTTCTAGTTCTAGGTCTTTTTTCAGGCTCAAAACAGGATTCATTTTTTTATGTAGGGCCTATAGTTTGTTATGTTGGCTAATATAATGATGGGAAAATATAAATAAGCAAGAACAGACTGAAATACCAAAGTCTCTCAAGATCCCAGTGCCACACTGACATGTTGTTGACTGGATATAATGTACCCACGTGTGTGTGTGTGTGTATTTACAAACATATATATGTCATGTATTATATTAGACATAAATGGAGCACACGCTTTCATTGTTATGTAATGTGTTCCTGGAAAATGGATGAGGCCCCTCCCTTGGAAAATTGAGAAGCTGGGTTGGCAGTCATCCAGTATTATAGTCATCTATTGTTTGAAGACTACACTACAAAATGTACATTTGCATTCATTTATAGACATTTTGACTTTTTATCTTTGATAGATGGGCTTTTTTGGGGATCATTCTTGACGCGCAGTGGCCTGATTTTTCCCTCGAATTGGGGTCTTGAAAAAAATTTGGGGGTCTTGAAAATTTTTTCCAGGATTTGGTGGGGACCCTGATTATAGCAATGTAGCTGACAATTTATATTCTTTGATTGTTGCCAAATATTTAGATGTTGTCATGCAAGTCTCTACCCAAATATGTCAAATTAATCGTTAAACTATTGGTTTGTGGAAAGAATGCGGATGCATATTTATTTTTATATGTTTCTGCAATTTCATCTTGCATAGTCTCATGAACGTGGTTTGTAAGGTGAGTTTTCAAGGCTCCTCACCCATTTGGTGATGACCAAAAGACTGAGGTTAAATGACGATAAGACCGAAATAATTTTATATAAATTAAGTCTTTGGCAACACAATTTAATGTAAATGATCATCTTGTCGTTGGAAATGAGAAAGTGATTTTTAATGCAAAAAGGGCAAAAATAGGAGTTATATTTGACAACCAATTGTCTTTGCACTATCAAGTCCAAAATCTATGTAAGGCTGCATATTTAGAGATCCGAAGAATTGCACAAATGGCACCTTTCTTTTACTTAAAGCAAGGTATCTCTTCAAGACACTGATGTCATCATTTGTATTATCTCGTATTGACTATTGCAACTCACTCCTTATAAACATACACCAGCTGAACTAATGAATAAACTGCAAAGACTCCAGAACCAAGCTGCGAGAATTGTTCTCCAAAGGCCAATAGGAGAACGCACACCATTGCTTTTACAAGTTACATTGGCACCCTGTTAAAGCCCATATTTATTACAAAGTTGCAATAATATGCTATAAGTATTCAAACAATTTGACACCACAATATCTTTCTAATTTGCTACATGAGAAAATTCCATCGGGAAGTTTAAGATCCACTAATAAAATCAAGTAAAGACTGTGCCTTGTAAAGCTGAAGAAATTTGAGGTAGGGCTTTTTCGACAGTTGCTCCCTCGGTGTTTAATTCCCTCCCTTTGCATTTAGGAGAGGCGCCTTCTTTGACAGCATTTAAATTGTATGCTTCCCGGGAAGCTGAGAATGTTTCGGAGTGTTCTATGGTCTGCTGGGGTAATAATATAGTGTAAAGCGCATAGAGCCTGCTGCTGAGCGGGGATATGCGCTATATATATATGCTATCTATTATTATTATAAATCCGGTCTAAAAACACATTTATTTAAATCCCATTTTACTAACTAGTTTTTTTCTTCTTCCAAGTAGTGTGATCAGTAGCCACAGTGATTGCCTTTTTGCGTATGTGTTCTTTGTCAGATTAGAAGTGTATATCTATTTGAAAGAATTGTTGTACGTTGAATGGGCCAGGATGCATGAACTGTTGATTTCAATCTTGTTTTTATTGTGAAGCGCCTCCTAGAGCCACTAGGGAGTGGGTGCTATAGAAGTGATCTTAAATATTATTATTATTCATTATTATTATTATTATATTATTATTATTATCATTAAAATTTTTTTTATTTTATTCATTTATTTATTTTTGTTTGTTTAGTTACATTGTGTGTTGACATTATTAAGCATGGTCTTGGGACTTCCATTTTTTTTTTTTTTTTTTTTTCCAGATTGTCATCCATATGAATTGCAATGCTGACATCCTCTTTTTAAAATTTCAGACTATTGCCAAGAGTTATCTGCAAAGCCCCCAATTTCTGACCACGGCGTACAAAGAAACTGAGTACTTGAATGCCACTGTTGGGTATATTTCTTGCCATAAGTCCCGCCATCTATATATACATGTAAGACGATTTTCTTGACCCATGTTTGTAAGCTGTTTGAGTCTCCATATTGCTGTGTAGAGTACCTTTTTTTTTTTTTACTTTGTGTGGCTATTGTTGTAAGTCATTGTTGAGAAAGTTTCTTCAACTACTTTTTCTGTGATGCTGTTATCAAAATTTTCTACCTGGCATTATGCTGTCTTTATCGCGCAGAGTCACCTAAAGCCACACTCCACCTCGTTTGAAGCAAAGTGTGTTTCTGAAGAATGTTTTTAATTTTATTGAGTTCAGATTGAGAGTTTACTCTGATTTTTTACTTGCCCTGGGTAATCTTGTCTTGAAATAGCTGAAGATACGTCTGTTTTGTATGATAAGTGCTGTACGAAGGTTTCGTATATGTCTGTGTTGTTGTTGTTGTTATTTTGCAAGCCACTTAATATAAGGTGCTTCTCGACATGATACCAGGCTCAAAGATGGACGAGTGGTTGGCGGGTGCTCTGGTGTGGTTTGCTCCTTCTTTCCTATCAAACATTTATGGACCTGGTCTCTCCTCCTTCTTTTTTATGTTTGTTACTCTCTTGTAACACCTCTAAGTTTTATCACTTCTACCTTATTTTGTTGCAAGTGCTGTAAAACTCTTAGTAAGACTAAAACTCAAAGATTGAAGTGTGTGCATTGCTGTGTTAAGAATGATTACAACAATGACAAGGTCATGTTGTCCCCCAATTTCAGTTTTGGTGTGTTGTATTGTATGGATTGGAGGAGGGAGGAAAAAGTCTTTGCTGAAGGTCCTATGCTCACTCACACTTGTTGGGGCATTGTATGAGCTGGAATGTTATGTAATAACGGACCGCTAAGGTTTCGGCCGGTTTCATCTACAGACTTTGCATTGTGTCACTTTTAATACAGTCAAACCTGTGTAAAACGGCCACCCATTGTCTTGGAGAAAAGTGACTGTATAACTGTTATAACACAGGTGGCCGTCTTAGGCAGAACTGATCGAAATGAAGAAAGCAAATCATTCTTTTCCGAGATCCAAACCGGGGCTGATCTCAGTATTAGGACTGCCATAAGGCTAATTCAAAAGGGTTTTTGTTTTCTTTTGAAAAAGGGGGGTGAGTGGTGTAAGAAGGGTCTTTTGTGTTGTATTGTTCGTTTGTTTTTTGGTAAGCTTCCTTTTTGTTGCTGATTTTGTGCAAGGGTAAAATAAATGAAATGTTATGTATGTAAGACGATGAAGACCGAGTGCCATGGTAAAACATGCAAGTTCATGTCAACGTCCATTGTTACTTTGTTACAGATTAGGTAAACAAAACAGTGACCAGTCACCTTACACACGATTTGTGCATGAGTTGTGGCGGGGCTTATAGGTTATGACCGATCACGCGTCCCTCACCAGCAGTTGAAAATTTATTGGTAGGCCTACCCATTGGTCAACATGGATAAACATTCACTGGAGGGATTAACAATAGCGACAGGTGAATGAATTATGACGGCCCGTCCATAGAGTGAGGGGCCAATTCAAAATTTGTAACAAAGTGTCGTGCAATGAGTGACCGCGCCTGGCCGCCTGAGGCAGGTAAATTTGGTCTCAGGTTGATAAAATAAGGTGGCCGTAGCCGCGTTGGACAGGTGACCGTTTTACACGGTTAAATTATATAGAAAAAACACAAGGTAGACCTGCATGTTTGCCGACAATCGTCTGAAATCCGACAATCGCGACCCGACCTGCGAACCGGCCAATGCTATCGCTAGGCCCACCTGTATCAGTCAATGTGCGTAGTGTGAGGCCTGGCCGACTGCCAGCGACCCCTTTTTTTTCCCGTCGGCTTCGTCGGCACTTTCGTTTTCGTGCCGACCGCCGACGCGCGCACCGCCGACTGCCGATGTCGGCGTTTCCAACATAATTGTCGGAACCTAAGTAGAAATGCGAATACGGAAAAGGACGACAACCTAAATTATGTACTTTCAGTTTCGTGCTCGAGCGGCCATTTTGAATTTCGTTTGTTGACTAATTCAATTGTTCAGATCGTGTGGATTCATTCAAGTCCGACTCTCTTGTTCTAATAGAATCTAGATCTAGATCTAGATTTATATAGATCATTATAGACCTCAATGGAGGATTCATATTCCAATTCTATTGTGTCAAACCCTATCATAGGTTGTGCTGTAATATTAATATTGGTAAAAATAAGCATTTCATTAGGTGCGTGAATTATTTATTTATTTAGATCTAGATCTAGAATCTAGACTCAGCTGAGTCCCTCTGTTCGGAATCGGATGCGGATTTCTAGTTCAAGGCCTATTCCTATTCACTTGTTCTACAAGATCTAGATCTAGATCAAACCCTATAGCAATGCAGATGTAAGCCATATAGATCTAGATCTATGCTCCTTGTTTGTTTTGGGGTGTGGTTTTTAAATTTTTTTTTTTTTCATTTAGGACTTGTTTTGGCCTTTTTACATGAGGCCCGTTGCAGGTTCTTTTTGGGGGTAGGGTTAGGGTTAGGTCTCTTCTTTATTGTGTTTGTTGGGGTGGTCGCTGGTTACTCGGATGTCCTTCCTTATGACACCCACAAATGCGCAAAATTTTCAGACAATCTGGTTGAGGCTCGCATGCAGGTCTAACAAGGGGGAAAATGGAAAGTGGCCATTTGTATAGGAGGCCGTATTATACAGGTGGTGGTCATGGCAGGTTCGACTGTATATTGTGTTGTAATACGGTTTTTCAACAAGTATGGCTAGAATAGTTCCCTTTATGTTTCAAAAATGTGAATTTGAAGTAATAATATTTTGTTTTGTTCTTACTCCTACAGCCTTTTAACTACACCAAACCGACTGTGACTAGACTGACATCTGTGAGTACCTTAGGGGTAAAGATTCTCTCAATGAGTATATTGATAATGATAGTGTCTTTTACTCTTAATATATTGATCATTTATATTCATTTTAAAAAGTAAGTGGTTGGAGGGCGTCACTGGTAAGTCCTACTTCTTTACTTTCCACTCTGTTTCTGTCTGTCTGTCTTACTTTTTCCCATCACTAAATGACTGTTATTGTGTCGATGTGTTTCTTTTTACTCAAACAAACAAACAAAAATATGATTTTTTTAAAAAGAAAAAGATATTGAAAATAAAAACATAGTCCCTTATGGAAAGCTCAAAATTAACTCCTGGGTATGAAGTAGAGAACAGTTTTAGGGATTGTTCAGTCAGGGAGTCAAAGAGGTGAGTTGGGAGCTAGTGTTAAGCAGTCTTTGGCCTCCTTTGTAAAATACGTCTCTGCACTCTTTGTTTTCAGAAGAAGACTTCGGCTACAAAGACAGATGAAGCGTCAACGAAAACGAGTGGTACGGAGGCCACTGCTGCAGCAGATGTCTCTGCAGAGTCTGGCAAGGACGGGTCGGCCGCTGCACAGCCTGGCAAGGACGGATCGGCCGCTGCACAGCCTGGCAAGGACGGATCGGCCCCTGCAGCTGGCAGTGAAAGTAAACCACTGCAAGAAGGTGGGACAGGTGCAAACAGAAAAAGAAGAGAGGCTGATTCCAGCAAAGTAACTAGTTCTACTCCAAAACCTGTTTCCAGTAGCCCGGCAAAAGCAAAGGTGCGTTGAGATTTGATAATTTTTTGCCAAATTAGGCTTGAGAGCACGTAAGAAAACATGGGTCTCAATTTAGCGGATTTCCGCTACCGCCATTTCCTCCGCTAAACTCTGCTACCGCGACAGTGGGTCAATCAGAAAGAGAGTTGCTGGAAGCAGAGTGACTGCCAGGCCTCAGCTATTACCCGGGAATTTGAAAAAGATCGCCGAGACGCGGGAAAACACATAAAAGATCTCGAATATTATTTGAAAACCAAATCCGATAACGTCTTTAAAGTTCATTTTTTCCGGTCGCGATTGTGATATTAATTCGGCTTTTCCCGGTCTGAGGGTACGTTTCACGCGAACAGGCGGCTATGGCGGCAAGCGGAATTGTATGTGACACCGAGGCTCGACCGGAAAATCAAGGTCTCAGAAATTTGTCTGTAAAAGTCTAAATACGCAACATTTGAAACATGCAGGTTCTGCATTACAAACGTGGTGTCGCCATGAAAATAATGTTCGTCACTGTGCTGTCACTTGTGGGGGCAAAAAAAAAGAAAAGAAAGTTATACAAGCGTCTTGTCGGGCTCGTCATTGCGACCGGTCAATGAACCTGCGCGTGTTCTGAGCGCTGTGAAGTACAGGACTCAGGAATGGGGGGAGATTATTGATTTTTAAAAAAAGATACACTCGGGGAAGGGGGGAGGGCTGGACGCAACACCAGAGGAGAAAAAAATAAAAGAAATTGGAAGCAAATTTTAATATTTAGAATTTTGATTACCACTACAGCTCTCTGCAAAGTGCGCGTTAGTGCATGCCTTGTGTATAATCGGGATCCGTCATAACTACTTGTAAGCGTGTTAATGAACTTAGGGCAGGGGCCTAAGTGTTCACGTTTCATTGGATGGGTGAGAGTAAATTATGTCTCTATATTTTAGCTTTTTGTTCAAGATTCGCATATTTTCAGTGTCACTGCATCGTGCCCTCCCGCAGTTCTTACACCTCTCACACTGAATAGGTTTACTTGAGCCATTCATGTTATTACTCTTCTTTGAGTTTGAGCATTAATTTTGTCTTTCACGTTTATTATATGAATCATTACACCCAGACTGGTTCATAACAGTCGATATTCTGGTTCTAGGCCTTTTCCCAGGCTCAAAACTAGATTCATTTTATATAGTTTATATATGCAGGCGAATATGATGAAGGTAAAATATAAATAAGTCGCACTAGACCACTGTGCGCCTCCACTTTCTGTACGTAATCAAGATTGTAAATATTTGGTAAGTGACTTTTACTTGAAATTATCTTCCAAACCCTCAAACTGGTATGAAATAACCTTGCTTTGATAAATTTATGGTTTTTATTTCAACATTCTAGGGTCCCACAGTATAATAATAGTGGGTGTCTCGTGAAAATGGGCTTCTGTCGCGATCACACGGAAAGTTCCTCCTTTTTAAAAATTCTGAGTTGAGACCCATGAGAAAAGCATTGTTTGGGGTTATGATCTCAAATGCTGGATCTTATCCGAATGTAATCCTTCAGAGCGGGACCTTAGGGGTGACTTTTGTGCCGTAAGAATTCTTTTTACTTAAAACTGCTGTGTCTTAAGTGAACTGGGATTGTAAGCGATGGGATCTTAAGCGAAGACTACTGTACTTTTGACCTACATGTGAACCCGTCTATGTTGACTTCCTCATGGAAGATATATACTCGTAACAGCATGGCATAAATGTGACCCAGCGGCGATAAGAACTTAACCTTTTTCCAAATCTTTTCTGAGACAGTGAAGAATGCTGTGGCAAAGTTGAGGACAAGTGTTAAAATTATAACTGCTGCCTCTGCTCAGTATATTTCTTTTTTTTTCAAATGAATTTACTGATGTAAAAACTTTTAGTTTTAGTAAGAGATACATGGCACTTGCAATACAATTAGATTGTTCACCGGTGCTGATGTGAGAGTCTGTTATTCCCAGATACGAATCCACTCTGCATGTGGCTAAAACAACTCTGTACAGAAGAATTAGAGCCGCGTTATTAGCGTGCCGTACATGTAACATCATATAGGCAACCAGGAAGGCAAACTTTGCCAACTTCGGTGACATAGATGGTACGCCACAAAGCTAAAAATTATGCATTTTCTTGACGTACCAGGTATGTCATGAGGCAATGGAGGGGTTAAAGAGACTTATATGTGGTTCGTACATATGTATGAAATGTTTGCTAAATCAGTCCCTTGTTCTGTCTTACCATGTGAAGACTGGAGTTGACTACTTTCCTGATAGGGTGAGTGCGCAGTAGAGCAAGGCATTGGTCATTATGTTACCCATTGGCCCCCTTTATTTTTTGTTTCTTTCTTTTTCGTTTTCTTTCTTCCTCACTTCTCTAGTTTGCTCTCTTTCTTCCTCACACCTTTCTTTACCGCTCTGTAAGTGGGTTGTCAAGAGAAGTTACTCGAGCTGCTTTGTGAAATGTCATAACTTGCTAATTTTTTGGTTAAGTCGCACATTCCTTTACCAAGCAGTATAATCTCTTTATCTACCTCTAATTTGTGACACAATGCTGGCAGAACTGATTATGAATGTGGTCCCTGCCAGTAACATTTTTCCTTTTTTAGTAGATTCTAATTATTGTTTCCACAAAAAGTAGAATTTTCCAAAATTTTAATATTTTGTAATGTTGTTACATTTAGCGACAATTCTTCAGATTTTTGCACTTTTTTTGTGCTTATCATAAAGTGAACATATCTGTTTCATTTGCCTGCTTTGATACTTTAAAAAAAAATTATGTCAATTACCCGTTTTTATTTTAAAAAATTTCATTTACCTGTTAATAGATCCAATTTCAAATATAAAGCATGGTGATAAAATTTAAGCATACACAGAATTTACTCGTAATGTTTATATCTTATTGCTGTTTGACATACTCTCAACCTTTTTATGAAAATCAATACCCAAACATTTCCTGACACTTCTTTATGTCTCCTAAACCTTTGGGTTTTTTTGTAACCTAGTAAGTGAATTTATGTAATTTATATTGAGTTTATGTCAGTTATTCTAGTCACTATAGGCACGATTTTTACATTTGAGTAAAGTCTTTGTGAGAAGTTTTTTAATATTCTGAAACAGTTGGACACGTTTTTTTCATAAACATGTACATTATGTAGATCTATTATTAGCCTTTTAAGTGAATAAAGTTATCATTATTACCAATGCTGCCAATTGCTGGGGATAGCATACGGTATACCATTTGTATAATTGTATCACTTTTGTTTGTTTTTTGTTTTGTTTTGTGGCTTCTTAGTATTTGTTATTTTATTTGTTGGTTGGGTTTTTAATTTTTGAAATTCATTTTTTTGGGGGGGCCATTTCTTCAGTTGTCTTTTTATTTTTTTCGTCCATCATGCTTGTCAACCCAAACCTTGTGGGTGGTTGGTGGGTGCTCTGGTGTGGTTTGCTCCTTCTTTCCCTTCAAACATCTATCGTCCTTATCTCTCCTTCTTTTTTGTGTATGTTACTCTCTTGTAACACATCTATTCTTTGGCACTTATTTTACCTTATTGTGCTGCAAGTGCCCTAAGACTCTTAGTAAAAGTAAACTACAACAACCCAAACCTTGGCAGAAGACACTCATTTTGCAAATCAAGAAGATAAATGTTTTCATTATCACCTCTGCAGAATGAAAATGATGCTGACAGGTTTTTGAAAGTCTGGAAAGATGGCTACTATGTGCTGATTCTTGAGTTCAGTAGTGCGGATTCGGAGAAGCCACTTCCCGACAAATTCCATGCGGAAAGTGAGTCTACGTTCATCTGTTCTCTCTGTCTGCTTTTGTCTGCTCCCTCTTTCGTGTCTCGTTGGTTGTGAGGTAGGCTGTACAAGAGGGTTCATCTTTTGTTTTGGTTATTCATTACTTGAAAGACAATATTGTTTTCTGTTATCATACGATCCTGTAAAATTTCCCGCTTGTACTCACCTGTTTTGGGTTTGTGGGATACTGAGCCCCCCCCCCAGGGCAGTGCTACTGACTGAAAGTGTCTTTAGGCCATTCCCAAAGGGGGGATATTAACATGTTGTTATGCACAGTAGAATTTTAAATTGGCCAATTTATCAATGTCATGCTCATACTGTGCCGGAACAACATTGGGGGAACTGCTGTTTTTTCTTTCCTCGTCCTTACTATCATCATTTTTCCTCTAATTTTTTTGTATGTAACTCTCTTGTGAACTGCTATTTCCGGGGTGCCTTGATAGTCAAAGCAGACTTTGCGCTGTTAAGGGTAGAGAGTTGAGCAGAATAAGCCTGATTCCCCGTTTGGACTTCTCTGTTGACATCCACCTCTTTGCGCTCAAATGACCTTATATGCAGTTGCGAGGGCCGTAAAACCTTACTAAAACTGAAAGTAAAGTGAGGGGGGCTCCCTATGTACCTAGGTTTTCCAAAGTACATTTGAGGGGGGGGGGGGGGGGGTATTTTTTAATTAATTTATTTTTCTGTATTTTGTCTGTGTAAAACTGGAGTCATGTTGAATAGTTGAATTTTGAACTCGCAAAAATTTGTGGGAATACATAAATACCAGCTGTTGTTGTCCATGTGTTCAAAACCCTGTGCAAATGACTCTTTATTTGCTTTGTTCTGTCTTCTTCAGTCACAGTTCGCATGACTAAGGATGACAACTATATCAGTGCTGCTGACTGGCCGCTCCTCATCGTAAGTTGTTAAATAAGTGGGAAAAGAAAACATCTTTTATTTTTTTGCCATCTTCACTTAAAAATAGGTTGGGTTGTTTTTTTATGCGACCCTTCCATATAAGATGTCCAAATCACACTTAATGGAAGAAGAATTTGTTATTTTTTTGCATTGTCTGTCTTAGAATATGACTTTAGAATATTTATTTTCAGAACCTTCTGTTGATAGACTGGGTTTGTTTAGCTTCAAGTCTGAATTCTTCTAAAATCCTGTCGGAGAGATTGCAGGTTTATGATTCTATATGGTATTGACAAAATTTTTAATTTAGTAGACTGGCTGCATTAACAAGAGTTAACATTTTGATTTGTTGTTGTTATTATCGATCCAGAACATTTTGATTTAAAACATGTATAGAGGGTTGGAGTAGGGCAAATGTTGTTGTGTACTTCCATAGTTTTGTTCCCTTTATGGCATTTCGACTCATTTCTGAATGAAGAACATTTTACTTAACTGCTTTCTCAGTTTTGCAATGTTTATGGATTTTGCACAATTCAGCTGCACAAGACACAAACTGAAGACCTGTTTGGGAAAACAAACCTCTCCCTGACTCTTGGTCAATGATGGCAAAAGGTTCATGTTATTGTCATTTACAATGTGATAAAGATCTGCTTGTGCACAGTGATCCTGACTATTAATCTTTTTCGAGCCAGCCATGGACAGGCGCAGTTCATCAGAGACAGGTGAAGTTAGTTAGTCTGAAAAGAAATACAAGTAGTACGCTTCTCAAAAGTACCCACGTACCAAATGCAAGAGGCAGAAAAGATAGATTGACCACACTAGAGCCTCCCCCCCAAACTACACCCTACTATTCTGCCGTGCAAAGGTAGAGTGACGTAGCTGCACTTTTTATGATTTTGAGTTACGTCACGCTGCCATTGAAAATATATGGCCGGGCATGGCCCTTCAGTTACGTCTATTTGCCATAGTGAAATATCCTATTTGTAGTGCAGATACATTTTCCTGCCTTTGACACAATATGCAGAATGGGTATAGGCGTCCATTTAAACAAAGATGCAAAAATTATTAAATTTTTGCAGAAACGTCGGTCTGCCTTGGCACGGCAGTTTTGCCATCTTTATACTCACACTGTAGTGTAAAATCATTATATTGTTCTGCTGCATCTGTTTCAGTTTTACGGCATGATGGGCCTGGTCTACATTGGCTACGGTATCTTCTGGCTCTTCATGCTGGCCTGCAACTGGAGGGATCTGCTGCGGGTACAGTTCTGGGTTGGAGGAGTTATTCTCCTTGGTAAGGATGATTAATCAATTATTGATGGCTTCACTTGCACAGTGATAGGAAAAAAAAATCCAACTTTGTCTCTGTACTTATGTAATGGAATTAAGAGCTCTTTCAGTTCTTGTGTTTTTCTTTTTGCTTTCAGAGTTATGCTATTTTTAGATGTGATGTGGAACGTTAAGACTATATTTCAGTGTGTCATGAAGAGGTAAAACTGCATTGGAACGTACTGAAAGTACAGTTTTATGTGATGATTAGCTATGGAACTACACTTTTACGTGTTTTTATAATGGTGAGACAATGTGTAGAAGTGATATGTAGCATACAACAGTGTCTAGACAGAATGTGTTGTGAACAACAATATTTAGCACTGATGTGTAGTTCTAGAGCTACATCAGGACTTGATGTGTCACAGTGAAGTCTAATGATAGCTGCTGGAAACGTATATATAATTATGATTATCAGACAGGGCTAGTTTGCTCCTCTGATACCATCAATAATCCTATCCAGTGCTTGAGTCAATCCTGGTTTTGAGACTTGTTGCACTGACTAATGGGAGCATAGATGTCAGTGATACAGGTTCCCAGTTAATATGATTTAGTGCAGTCAAAAAATATCATTTATGACCAAAAAATTAAAAAACTTGTTGACATTGACACTGTTTCTTTGAGAAGCTAAAACTAGATGAGGACGTTGGATTAGAGGGGATATCATCTGTATGCCTAGCTAATTATTTAACTGAAGATTACTTTTTTACTTTCCCAGGGGAGATTATATTTAACATGCCTTTCTTCTTTGATGGTGTTACTGATGTATTTTGTGGCATGATGAACTGGGTTTTTTAAAGACTAGCTTTTCCTCTTTTATTTCAGGAACATTTTAAGTAGCACAGAGGCTGTTTGAAAATATTGCCTGTCAGCATAACCTTCTCGACAGACCAAATTATACTGGGCCGTTATTGTTTTTAGTATTGCTTCAATGGACTCTAATGATATCATTTCAGGAATGCTTGAGAAAGCTGTCTTTTTTGCTGAGTATGAGAACATCAACAAAGAGGGTCAGCCAGTCCAAGGGGCAATAATCCTCGCGGAGCTGGTGTCATGCGTTAAAAGAGGGTTGGCCAGGATGCTGGTGATCATCGTGTGCCTGGGCTTTGGCATCATCAAGTAAGTCCATCATGGCTTTCTGTTTGTCATGGGGCGTGTTGTTTTCTCAGTTGGTGTCATGCTGGACTTGGGTGCAGATACCATGGCTTAAACCCTGAAGATGCATGGTTTAAATCCGAAAGGTGTAGGTTTAAATCCGGAAGATGTATGGTTATGGTTTAAACCCTGAAGATGTATATTTTAAAAAAAATGTCTTTACTCTACTCTAGCTTGGTTTGATCCTGTGGGAGTTGCAGGTTGAATCAGAGCACGCCTATGGTGTTGGTGGCCTGGTGGTTAGGTTACCCCGACTCATAATCATGAGGTTGCGGGTTCGGGAGTTCGAGCCGCGGGCCCGACGTTGTGTCCTTGGGAAAGGCACTTAACACAAAATTCCTCACTTCCCTCAGGTGGGAATGGGTACCCGGCTATAGACAGTGAAAGATCTTGTCAGCATGTTAGTGTTTTAGTACCTGTAAATGGCTACTTGCACTGTATGCTTCCCAGAAAGTTGAGGTTGTTCAGAATGCTCTCAGGTCTGCTGGGGTAATAGTATAGATTGTGAAGTGCATATAGCTTGCTGTTGAGCGGGGATTTGCGCTATACAAATGCTATCTATTATTAAGTAATCGTACTGGTAAAAAAAGATTTTGAACTGACTTTAACACGTCGTGACCTCAATTCTTTCTTGTCGTATCTCCATTTTTTTTTAACAGTGAAAATGTGACAACACGGTCAAGATTTTCAAATGCAGTTCTTTGAATATCTTGATAGTGACTCTGAATAGTCTTGCAATTTTGATAGAGCAGATAGAACATTTAGTTTCTGGCCTCATGGTTTTAGTAACTCAAAATGTCCAAAAGTGTCAGATGGAACTTTTTAAATTCTAAGGTAACGATATGACAAAAATCACTTTTGCTTTCTCTCCAGACCCAGACTTGGACAGACTCTGCACAAAGTGTTGATAGCTGGAGTAGTGTACATCATCCTGGCCTCCATAGAGGGCTGTATGCGGGCCACCAAGGTGAGACGAAACATTCGACACATACGCCTAGGCAATCATGGTCACTGTAGCGATATTTCTCTTGTTGCGTCTCTGTTCACTTGTTGTCTCGTTTGTCATGGCATTTATGAGTGTCGCTTAGCGTGTCGTGTGACTGTGCTGTGTCCGGTGTCGTTCACATGTGCATCATCGACAGTCACTGTCTACCATACACGAGTTGTTAGTTTTTTGTTTAATAAAGCCAAGGTTGTGGGTGGTTGGCGGGTGCTCTGGTGTGGTTTGCTCCTTCTTTCCTGTCAATCATCTTTTGCCCTTATCGCCCCTTTTTCTTTTTTATGTTTGTTACTCAATTGTAACACCTCTAATCTTCTGGCGCTCATATGACCTTTTGCAGTTGTGAGCGCTGTAAAACCTCTACTAAAAGCCAAGATTTCAAGTATAGCTTGTTCTACTTGCTTCTTTTTACTTTTTAGTTCACTGTGATATTATATACAGTCGAACCTGTATAAGACGGTGGGATCAAGGATCGCTTGTCCGATCGGCAAGCAGTGCTCAAAACTTCACACCTCTCCATTGCTATGGCATGCGTCAGTCTTGCTTATCCAATTACCACCAGTGCTTGCCTTTCATAGGACCACTGTTTGACCTATTAAAGACAGAAACGTTAGAACATCTCCTTTTCTTCTACCCTTAGCCCCACCCATCAGTGTAACAAGCGCAGTCAACAAATGCCACCCCTCGCTGCCATCATGTAACAACAATTCGAGGAACTCTTTTCTCGGCTGGCCGTAAGATCAGGGCGGCGAGCCTTGGTCAGTCTAATTTCACACCTTTGGCCTCTGGCTACCCGGGAAAGTTTGCGTAGTGGCTCGGTACTCGAGCACTCTCACCAGCAGTCGTGAGATTTCACACCCTCACTATCCTGACTATCTGAATCGCTCAGGGTTCACATGATGGAGCAACATCTACCCCCAAATTGCACCCCTACTCCCCTTCCTTTCCCAGCGGTATGGCCATTGTTTTAAGTTTAGAGCCGGCAGAACCAAACTTGCGAGTTTTTTTTCAAATCGGTGCTGAGCGGGCAAAGCATTTTCCGTTAAGGCAGGTTCGACTGTACAGGTATAAAATGTTACTTCATTGGTCTGTATCCAGCTTGATATTATTGTATCCCCTGTTGGCTGTGAATCCTTTGATCAACTATTGTTTCACAGAAAATGTTGTTTCTTGTTTTCCGCTTAGGAGCGACCAGATCAGTCCACGGAGTGGATGTTTGCTGCTGTTCCCCTGGCTGTCACAGACGCCATCATTTGCTGGTGGATATCCTTTGGATGTGCTGAAGACTTTTTAGAAATGTGTTATAAATTCTTGTAGTGGTTGAAAAGGGGACACAGTAATGGTTTTGACATATTGTCGTCCAGTTGATTTTTATTTTAATTTTGAGTTGTCAGCAAAGAAGTGCTAGTCTTTTGCAGTAGTTGTACTCAATGAATGTAATTTTCCCAGTTACTTAAACTTTTCCGAAGCACCACTTACAGAATGATGTAGTAAAACTATCAAGAAGCCCTGTAATTTTTTTCAGAAATTCATTCAAATTGCAAACAGTTTTTGTCATCTCTTTGGCTCAAGTCTGTATAAAGACCAAAAAGTTGACATGTGTCCTGAGGATGTTTGATGCATGCTCTGATGCTAAGTGCTGATGCACTGAGTAGCAATTACCGAAGAAATGTGTTCGGAACAATTCCATCGCTGTCATCTGTGGCCTATGGTTAGGTTCTTTACCTTGATGGCTGAAAATGTGAGTTCTATTTTCAAGTAGGGAAAATATTCTACCTCCTGACACTGTCTTTTTTCTGGGATGTAATACTGTATCACACGCATCTTAACTTGACTCTTTCATACAGGATAGAAGATGCTTCATTTCAATTTTGTCGTAAAACATGAGAATTTTGTTGTTGTTGTTTCTGCAACTCATCTGATTGTTGTCTTGTCGCAGAATCTGTACATCTGCTTCACTTGTGTCATTGTATTAGCACGTGGAGCCAGTTGTTGTGGTGGAATCTCGTGTAATATAAATGGTTGTGACCTTGACCCAGACTACATTTTCTCCGCCCTGCTTCAAACGACCAGGACTCTGAGACTACGACGCAATGTGGTGAAACTGTCGTTATACCGTCACTTCACCAACACCCTCATCTTTGCCATCCTTGGTCAGTATCTTTGGCTGTTTAGTATGTTGTTGTCTCTGGTTGGGTGGTTGTAGGGTACCACTGATAGGTCTTTCTTTTTCATCCTACTATTCATTTTTTCTGTCTTTCCTCCTTTTTTGTCAGCCATAAACGACCATAAGTAGGTTATAGTTCTTAATTTTCTTAACTTGGACAAATAAGTCATATAATGGTTGGGTTTTTTTTTTAGGCATCGTTAATGATGTTGTCAACGAGAGTAATTGGTGCCTAATTTTTTCTCAAATTTCTGTTTAACGGTAAATGCTGCTTTACCTACCTATAATGATATGAATCTAAAAGAATCCCAATAGTTAAGATAACGGTTTGAATTGATTGCTTGTTGAACAAAATTTGTCACCATCGTTTTGAGAATAAGTAATGAATTGTTGTTCGTGTGTTTTCTTCCCTTCCAGCTTCCATCGCGTACATGATCTGGTTCCTGACCCAGCATCGCTTCAAGGACTGCATCACGGTCGGTGGAATTACCAAGAGCAATGTCATCCTTTTTTTTGTTGTCCATAGTGCTTTTTTTTTCAGTGTCCAAAATATTCTCTTTGTCGGCCCATAATTTAAAAATCTTTTCTATGACAATATGGCAGGAATAAACCCAACTGATTTCCTTAACACATTATACCCTAAGGGTCTGGACGGAAAGTCCATTGTTAGATCCTAAGCAAGGGGAAGGAACCCACCTCCCGTGAACACAAACCTTTAAAAACCACATTTTTAAAATACTAAACAAATTCCAAAAATCCTGAAAGAATAAAAGTTAAAACGAAAAATGAATGTAGTTTCAGAAAAATATAACTTTATGTATGGGCAAACTGTTGCAAATTTTCTAACTTTAGTTCAATCGGGGTGTCCGACCCGTCACTCTCACTCTCAGCTGAGCGGTCGGGCCCCAGATCTCAATTCTAGATTCTCTACGTCTGATCAATCGGAATCGGAAACTCTTGCTACAACGTTTTCATCAAAATCTGAGTCATCTGATTTGTCAGATGCTTGTTTTTGCTCAAATCCATCGTTATTTCCTTTTTCAAACTCAATTGTGTCGCTTTTCAACAAGTCGAGATGCTTTCGAAGTGTCGGTAATGCGATCTCACTTCGTTCGGCTCTAATACTAAAACTACTGGCCCGAAAAATTTCGTTTCGGTATCAAACGAAAGAACAAACTTTTTGCAATAAATATGCAAATCAAAATCTCGGCCTCAGAGTCTCGTCAAGGCGAGATTTCGTTTCTAAAGATGCTCGGTCGGCGGGGGCGGTTCCGGGCGAGTCAGGATGGAGTGCGTAAGGGAATTCCCGGGCAGTCTCGGGCGAGTTAGGGTGTAATGTGTTAATGACCTTGGGTGTGGAGCAGCATGAATAGGTGTATTTATTTAATGAATATTTGTCTTTAAAAAATAGGGTGAGCATATTATGGGAGGTTCAGCTGCTGTTTTTCAGTCAGCATATTAATTGAGGACTTCTTTAGAATTGGAACATTTTGAAACTAAAACAGCATTTTGGAGCCCTTCTCTTGACTTACATGTTATGTCAAAGGTTTTGTTTTTTTTTAAACCCAGGATTGTGGGTCAATGAAGCAATTGGTGTCAACGTTTTCAGTTTTTTGTTTTGACAAGGGTTTAACTCTTAGGTTGTAGGTGGTTGACAGGTGCTCTAGTGAGGTTTGGTCCTTCTTCCCTGTCAAATATCTATCATCTTTATCTCTCCTTCTTCGTGTTTATGTTTGTTACTAATATTCAACACTTATGTGACCTTATTGTGTTGCAAGTGCCATAAAACTCTTACTACAACAATGAAACTTAAGTAGACTCTTCTTTTGCACCTGACTAGAATATGGGTAGATGAGCCGTTTTGCCGGGTACATTTATGTTCCACCTTTTTGACGGCCATTTTATGGTTATTCGGTCTCTTTTTATAAATAAAATTGTAGGTTGATGGAACATTTAGGTATCATGTTATTTCATTGTGTTAACATGTATTTTATTGATACAAGTCTTTTTTAGTATATCGATTTCAGTTCAATGGAACATTTACTCATTTTAGTGGGGGTTTTTTGTTTTTTTTGCTTTAACCAGAATTTTGCGCTTGTTTTGTCTCTTTTCATGGTAGGAGGGGTACATCTCTGGGAGACTTTTGTGTCAATGTTTTCCTTTCATCGTTAGGACAATGGTTTTATCGTTGATTTGCATCTTTCCCCAGGACTGGAAGGAGCTGTGGGTGGATGAAGCGTTCTGGCATCTGCTCTTCTCTGTCATTCTCTTGATCATTATGATTCTGTGGCGTCCGACTGCAAATAATCAAAGGTAAGGACTAAACTCTGAGAAAAGGAATAATTAGGGATTTGTTTTTTATTCGTGGGTAGAATATGGCTTCTCTTTTTTAATTAAAAATATTTTTTTTTAGCAAAATGGCTCTTGATTCCAGCTTCCTGTAGTCTGAGCAGCAGGTATTTTGTTTCTCTTCTGATGTTAAAAGAACTCCCAACATCATGCCTTGTTTTATTTTGGGCCTACGATTTCCTCTGTTTCTAAGTCTCTTTTAAGATGACCTTTGCTGCTTCCGTTCAGCAAATTAGGCTGCTGTTTAAATTTGCTTAGTATATATATATATAAGAAAATGGTTCGCCAATTCCAAGGGATCTAAATGAAAGATACTTTTCTCAGAAACAATTGAAGTCCTGCCCTCTGTTGTGTCATCTTTTATCACTTCGGATATTGCATATTCTTTGTTGGGATTTCCTTCGTTTGTTATCTGCCTTCTTCTATTGTCAGTTCCTATGGTCTGAAGGTAGTCTCTTTTTGAGACATATCCCTCTTGCAGGCCTCTTTGTAGAGGTTTGCCTTTTTTCCTTTGATAAAAGACAACTTCTTTTCATGCAAGCAGTGTTAAAGGGGAAGCGACTTGGTCTTAGAAGTCTGCTTAGAAAATGTGCTGTTGATTCTAGTTTATTTCATGTTGTTTTAAAGAAAATTAACTTTTTCAAAATAAGTAAAGAAAAAAAGAATGTTAAAAAGTTGCAGACAGAATTGAAATGTTAGAGAGAAAGTCCACAAATTGAATTTTTACTTGCTTGTTTCAGATATGCCTTTTCGCCTTTACTGGACGCAGCAGAGGATGATATTGATGACGATCAAGTGCTCAGTGAAGCCTATGGTAAATCATGTTTCTTTGTTTCGTTACATTCACATTATGAAATTAGAATTTTCTATGTAAGCCTGATTGCAGTCTTTGAACTACTGTGCAGCCTGTCTGTAATGACCTTCGAGATAACGACATCCTCTGTATAGTGATATGGTGCCTAGGTCCCGATTTTTTACTTATACGAGCGTATATCATGAGTAATTTTGGGTTTCCTTCAAGGAGTTTACTGTAATGGAGGATGCTCTGTGGGCGGCACCGCACGCCTGATAGGAGCCCTCTCTCGCAGCGGAACTGTGGTTTACCTGCGCTGCGCTCACGCAATGAAATCTAGATTTGAAAGGTTTTATTCCGAGATCAGACTTGTTTTATGTTTTAAAGCCCTTTCATCTCCTAATTACTATAAGACTACTGTTGTCTAGATGTAGATATCAAGAGGCTCCATTAAAATATGAAATCAATACCCAACAACTATAATGATGAATAACTTCTATTTTAAAGAAACACCAAACCATATCAGATGAGGGGAGGGGGTAGAGTGGGTGGATAAGAGTTTGAGTCTTTTTGATAGAACTATACTTAGTTTAGATCTAAATCTATTGTTGTAGTCTTCACCTAAGATCCCACAATTTATAATTCCGGTTCACTTAAGATTTCGCTGTTAAAAAATAAATCAAACAAAGCAACAATAAAATGTTACTGCACTAGTCATCCCTAAGATAAGTTATCCCCCTCTGAAGTATGAAGGGACTAAAAACACTGCTTTCCCTATCGTACTTTAATGAACAAAAAAAAACACCTTCAAAGGTCATCCATGCTCATGCATGGGATCACATCTCCACTCTAAATCTCGATGCGAGGTACACGTTTGCTACAGACGCAAGGATTTTACGACAAAGGAATCACGCCAAGGTGTGAACTCCTCATCGACGCCTTTGATTTTGCCGAACATCGAACTCGCAATAAAAGCCTTAGGTAGAGCCAACAAGGCCCCTCATACCCATGTCTAGAATCATGCAGTCATATCATAGTTAAATTCAGTTTAAAAAGTACATTTTTCACCATTTCTTATTATAATTAAATCTTTGAGTGTCATGAAAGATTATCTTTATAATTTGGTAGGCCTATGTGTGATAATTTTATAATACTTTGATAAGTTTTCTTCTTATTTTGCCGATCTTCTTAATTTTTAAACTAGCTATATAACATAAAACTCTTAAATAATTGAACAGTCCCTAGGCTTTCTCACTTGCCTGTGTAGTCTGTATCACAGTCATCCTGTCAGTTGATCTCTCTCTCTCTCTCTCTCTCTCTCTCTCTCTCTCTCTCT